AGGGGATAACTAAACAAGGTAATTATAGATTATAGATTGTAAGCATATAAAGACATAAACAGGGTGTTATAACAGAGGGTATTGAGAAGGAGACTTCTTTATATAAGGTAGTCAAGGAAGCACTCTATGAGGAGACAGTGAACCCCACATTTGAAAAATATAATCGTCCCAATTGCTTAGAGCAGATTGTTCATATCCCACAGTTTCACGGTTGGCCATCTTTCATACTGTAGATAACAAAATTAAGTGGGAAAATATTAATCAGTGTGAGTATATTTATGTAACAGGAGAATCACGTAATAATTACTAGAGACATGATTTACAAGGGAGCAGTTTGAGCTAACATCAGCTAGTTAAGTAGGAGTGGTAGGAAGCCGGGAGTGTGGAAGTGAGAGAGAACTATTCTTATGGTCCAGATAGGTTTTTCATGTTCTCCAGAGGTAATGTTTACTTGACCCTAGTGAGCCTATAACTGAAGATTCTGTATTTTAACAATAATTGGAATAAGCAGTGATTAATAATCACACATAGGCCCTTCTTACATGTGAGATGTGTAGAGTTTTTCCTAACAGACCTGCCATATAAACCACTAGATCACTGTGGGATGTATGGATTGGTCCCTAAATTATTTTTTTGGTTTTAGTGTGTGGATGGTAGGGTGTTAAATTTGTGACTGTAATAATTAATACTGAATCATTTGAAAAGTCTTAAAGTAGAATAAACCTTAACTTAACCTCTTCTGTAGGTTCTTGGAAACTGCAATGACATAAAATGAAACTAAGTTTCTGATAAGCTAATTGATATAAACAGGAGTTAAGGTCCTATGGCATCTCATTAATGTTATAATGAAACAACACTGAACAAAATGATATTCGAAGATCCATATTTTCATATTTTCCTTATTGCCAGGACAATCTTAGAATAATTTTTTCTTTTGGAATCTTTGGGGTTTGAAGCAACCTTTTTCTTGTCCAACGTAGAACCTGTGTTCCATAGAAATAGTATATAGTTCTAGGAATATGAGAATACATTTTAAGAAAAAAAGTCATTTCATTTAATTGAGAGTTTTTTGATTTATCACAGGCGCCATGATAGCAGTGGGAGTGGACATTCAGCCTTTGAGCCCCTGGTGGCCAATGGATTCCCTGCTTCTTTTGTGCCTAAGTAAGTGAAATATAGCTGGTTGAGATATACACTATTTAGAAAAAGAGTATTGTCAGAGTTTCTGTTCTATAGACTTTCCTCTTTGCTTTTTACATAGCTTTATTTGTTCAGGTTCAAACATTTGAAATCTGAGAGGAACATTTTGAGTAACTTACCACAATAACTCTCTTTTATCTAATTCCTTTTAATAATTTTTATTAATATGGGTAAAATATATTAAGGCTAAGAGGGTATGTAAATATATTTAATAACCATGTATGTAAACAGAAGGATGTTAAGGTTTATGCAATGGGTAAAATGCAACAACGTGAAATTTAAGGTAAGTGTTAAATTTCTACATTTGAATTAAAACATGTTTGAGGAAGAAAAGGATGGGAGGTAAATTGGCTCAGAAATATATGCTAAAAGACTTGGGGTAACTTATATGCTTGATTTGAGGGAGCAGTATAATTTGTCTGCCAAAAAAGCTAATGTACTCCTAGTCTGTGCTGACAGAAAAACAAAGACTAGAATGAGGTGGTTTAGTGGTATTCCTGCTTTCCTTAGTTCTGTTCAGATTGTCCATGGCGTGTTGTGTTTGGTGCATTACACTATAAGAGAGGATATACATAAACTGAAATTCGTTATGAGTGAAGCAGCTAAGATGTTTAAGGGGTGGTGGTGGTGGTGGTAGTGGCTGAGTGAGTTTTATAAATATATAAATACTAGCCTAGAGAAGAGAAATCTCAAGAGGAATAAAGAAAGGAGGGAGGGAAAGGTAATGGTCTCCAAAAAACCGAAGGACTATCACGTGAAGAAAGAAAAACAACTTGCTCAATACAGCTCCAAATAGGATCCATAAGTGAAAGTTAGAGAAAATGTGTTTTCGTCCAATATAAAAATAAACTGGTCCAGGTATTTCACTCCAAGGAGAGAGTGAGTTGTCCACATTGCAACAGGTTGGACAACTATTCTCCAGGAAAGATATATAGGGAATTTGTTTTATTTGGAAGCTTAGGAAAAATGGTTCCTCTTAACTGATTTTTTTTAACAGCTTTATTGAGGGTTAACTGACATGTAAACTGTCTGAAGTGTACAATTTGATAAGTTTTTACACATATACACCTGTGAAACCATCACCACAGTCAAAATAATGACGATAACCATCACCTCCAAAAATTTTCCTCTGCCCCTTAGTAATATCTCCCTCTAATCTTGCCCCTATGTCCAGGCATTCACTAATCTGCTTTCTGTCACTGTAAATTAGTGTGCATTTTCTATAATATGATATAAGTTGAATCATACATTCAATTTTCAAAATATTGGACTTTCCCATTACTTATACCAGGCAAAATAGACTTTTATTTAAAATAAAGGCTATAACAAGAGACAAAGAAGGACCCAGTATTCACATTTCTGGGTATTTATCTGGATAAGACCCAAACACTACTTCAAAGGGATACGTGACTATATGTTCATTGCAGCACTATTTACAATAGCCGTGATATAGAAGCAACCTGTGTGTCCATCAGTAGATGAGTGGATAAAGAAGAAGTGGTACATATATACAATGGAATATTACTCAGCCACAAAAAAGAATGAAATCTTGCCATCTGCAACAACATGGATGGACCTAGAGGGTATTATGCTGAGTGGAGTAAGTCAGTCAGAGAGAGACAAATGCTGTGTAATTTCACTTGTGGAATCTAAAGAACAAAGCAGAAACAAACTCATAGATAGAACATTCTGATGGTTGCCATATGAGGGGAGAGTGGGTAAAAATGAAAAGGGATTAAGTACAAATTGATAGTTACAAAATAGTCATGGGGATAGGATGTAAAGTATAGCATAAAGGGTATAGTCAACAATATAATTGTATAGTGTCAGATGGGTACTGTGTTTATCAAGGTAGTCACTTTGTAAGATTTATAAATGTCTAATCACCACGTATACCTGAAACTAACGTAATATTGTACGCCAACTTTAATTGAAAAATTTAAAAGGTATTTTAAAAATTTGGCTTTCCCCTTCTTGATTTTGTCAGGTGTATTTAGCTAAATTGTTAACAGTAAAATTAAGAGCATTGTCCTTTCTGTTACGTTTATTTGAGAAAGCTTTTGAGACCATGGATGAAGCCTTAAAAGAATGTTGACTTCAATAGCACATCTAACTGTTTTTTTCTCTTTTATTAGACCTGGGTCTCTGAAAAGAGGTCTCAATTCCCAGAGTTCAGATGACCACTTGAATAAGAGATCCCGCACCTCTTCTATGAGCTCCATGACGAGCACATACACAGGTGGCATTCCTAGCTCCAGCCGCAATGCCATTACCAGTTCTTACAGTTCTTCTCGAGGTTTCTCTCAGGTACGTTCTTATGGCATAGGTAGAATGGGTTCCTAGCATTAATTAATTGATTAGCCAGTGTTTACTAACCACTTTCTGTCAGATATTGGGATTACCTCTATCAGAAGATACAAATCCCTTGAATGATAACTGTAGACCAATGAGACAGAATAGAAAGCCCAGAAGGTAAATCAGCTTATATCTGATACAAGACAGAGCCATAATTACAGATAAATGGACAAAGGATGAATAATTCAATAAATGGTATTAGTTGGATTGAGAAGGTAGATTGAGTCTGGATTACATTGGGTCATAAAATTATAGGCATTGTGAATTTAGTGAAAGTCTTAAAAATAAGTGAAAGTCTTAAAAAATAATTCTTTTTTAGAAAGAGGACATCATATAGCTTAGGGCAGGGGTCCCCAACCCCCAGCCCTCAATGGTACTGGTCCATAGCCTGTTAGAAAATGAGCTGCACAGTGAGCAAGGGAAGCTTCATCTGTATTTGCAGCTGCTCCCCAGTGCTAGCATCACCGCCTCGCCTCCACCTCAGATCATTAGGCATTAGATTCTCATAGGAGCACCAGTCCCTGGTGCCAAAAAGGTTGGAGATGGCTGACCTAGAGCCAGCTTTGCTACCAGACTTGATTCAGATTTAGCTCTGACACTTAGTAAGCTATATGGCCTTGGGCAGGTAAATCACTTAACTCTTTCTCATCTTTGAAGGATTGTTGTAGAGAGTGAAGGTAAGGTTGGGAAAGTACCCATTAGTGCCTGTCAGTAAGTGGGTGCCCAGTTACATAGTACTATAAAAAAAAAATAAAGCGTGTGGAGGAAGATTTTTGAGGGGAGAAAATTCTTGAGATATGTTAATCAATCCAGAAGGTTCTTATAGTAATATAAATCTAAGAGGGAGGTCTAAGTCAGAGCAGTTGTGGGAATGCAAAGAAGATAATAAAATCTTTACGTTGAGCACTTATTCTGTGCTAGGCACTTTACGTACATTTCCTCATTTAATTATCACAACAGGCCTATTAAGTATACCTATTATCCCAATTTAAAAAATCTTTTTATTATGTCAGATTTCAAATGTACATGCAAGGAAAGGAAATGCAAAAATGAGCTTCCATGTAGCTTCAGTAGTTAAAAGCATTTGTCAGTCCTGTTCCATCAATACCCCCATACTTTTCGGTTTTGCTTTTGTGTTTTAAAGTAAATATCAAACGTTATTTCACCTATAGAAGTACTTCAGTGCGTTTTTATGCTTTTAACATTAATAAATCACAATACTGTTATTCCTCTTAAACAAGAATAATTATTTAATATTAGTTAATATCACTCCATGTTCAAATTGCCCTTACTACCCCAAACTGTCTTCATTACAGTTACTTTGTATCTGGGGTGAAAAATCAATTCATTGCATTTGGTTCATATGTCTGTTAGGCTTTTACTCTAGAATGCTACTATTTTTTCTGTGCTTTTGAAAAAACTGGATTATTATGTTCTGTAGAATTTTCCACATTCTGGATTTAGTTCACATTGTCCTGGTGTCATTTTAACATGTACTCTGTCCTATTTTCCCTGTAAATAGGTGGTTAGATCCTGAGTCTGGATTAGATTAAAGTTTAATTATTTTGGCAGAATATTGAATAGGTAGTGCTTTGTACTTCCTGTAGCATCACTTCAGGAGCACACGATGTCCGATTGTCTCCCTTTTGTGTTGTTAATATTGATCACTGGGTTCAGATGTTCTCTGTTACTGTCTGTTTTCATGAGTTTTTCATCTGAAGGTTTTAGTAGCCATTTATCTTTGCCTAGGTCCATTGTTTTATTAGGTTGCAAAATGATGATATTCTGTCTTTTCCTCTACATTTATTAACTGAAATTCTTTGTCAAAATATGCCCTAACTATAGGAATGACAATGTGTAAGAAGACATTGATGCCATTGCTAATTCCAAAGGTGACGAATGAGGTTTTTGCTGCTGTTGATTATATTTAAGAAATTCTGAATTTTAATAAGCATTTTATGACCCTCAATGCATTCTAGTTATTCTTTTTGATGCACAAAATTTCCAACTTTGACCAGTGGAAGCCCTTTCACATTTGCTCTTGTATCTTTTTGTTTTGACTCCAGTTGTCTTTTGATAATAGTTTCATTGTTTTTTGTTCAGAAACTATTCCATCTTGTACATTTCCAATCCAAATTGAAGTTGGCTATTTTTTAAGTAGCCTTGGTTTTTTTCAGGCAGAAACGACATTTAGATACTATAATCTGGATTCTAGGAGAGTTAAGATAGACATATTCTTTTGAGAAAGGACTCTAAATCATTAGTTTATTTTACTATTTCAAATTCAGATTTAGGATTACAGGAATTTTTACATAATTTTTTTGGCTATATATTTTTACATAAAAGTTGCTTCATAATTACTTATTGATTCATCCTAGTACACACAATTTCAAAATAACAATGTCATTATTAACATTAAGACTTATGAAATCAGCTTAAGAATTATTTGTGATTCATGTTGTCATTAGTGTATATTCCTCTATGGATACTGGGGACATAAAATCAAAATATGTGTTTTGAAGTAATGTGAATTAATTATTCTCAGTTGGTTACACCACCAACTTTGATATAAACAGTTGACTCTTGAACAACACGGGGTAGGGATGTAGAACCCCCTAGTGTCGAAAATCCCACGTAACTTTAGTTAGCCCACCACATCCACATATTCTCTATGGAAATTATACTACCTTCAATTCATGGTTGGTTGAATCCATGGATGCCAAACCCACAGATAACAAAGGGCCAACTGTACCTGTATTTATTGAAAAAAATATATATACATATATATGCACAGTTGAAACTATAATGCTGTTCAAGAATCAATTGTTGTAAGGTTCCTTTGTTATGTTTTCATGTTTTAGGGTTTCTGTGTTTTTATGTTATATAGTTTTCTTTTATAAAGTTTGTTTTTAATTATGTACAATACTTAAATTGTTCCAAAAAACATATGATAAAACAAGATACACTCAGAGAAGTTTCCCTCTTTCCAATCTACATTATTCCCTTTCTCTCCATTTTTGTTTCTTTTTGATTATCCTGCCATTGTTTTTTTTTAAAACTATATGCAAATCTGTAAACCCCCACTTTCTGACATTGAGGTTAGTAATACATATAAATTTGAGCCTTGCTTATTTTCACTTACTGTACACTAGAGGTCAATCCAGAGTAGTATATAGAAATTCATTTTTTTTTTTTTTACAACTGCATAATTACTCTTGTCCTCTATTGATAAACATTGAATTCTTTCAGTCTTCTGCTTTTACAGGTAGTGCTGCAAATAATATTTTTAATTCATAAGTTATACTTTTGCAATTATACTTCTGAGATAGATTCCTAGAAGATAGATTCCCAGGTCCAGGGTTAAATGTGTGTGTAATTTTGCTAGATTTTTTTCATTTCCCTTCTTTAGAGTATGTACCATTTAACATTATCATCAGCTTTGTATGACAGTGACCATTTCTCCACAGTCTCAACAGATTAAGTTTTTTACCAGTTTGACAGATAGTATTTAGCGTCTCTTATGAGTAAGTTTGAGCAGCTTTTCATATATTAGAGAACTATATTCCAAATGAACTAAAGGTTTAAATGTAAAATAGAAACTATAGAGAAGTATTTGTGAAAACAAAGTTCTCACACATTGGTGGTTGTCATTTGGTACAGTTCTCTAAGGCACAGTGTGGTGGTAGTTACCAGCATTAGAAATGCACATGTCCTTTGATCCAGCCGGTTTACTTTGAGGAATTAATCTTACTCAAAGATATATACAAGGATGTTGATTTCAGCATTATTTTAATACCAGAAGCTTGGAAACAATGTATATGTACCTTTTCAGGGGACAGGTTGAATAACTAACTTACAGTATTTCTAATATGTTCCGTTATATGAATATACCACAATTAAATACTGTGTAACTATTAAAAAGAATAAGGCATCTTACTAGGCATTGACCTGAATGATGTGAAAATATATATATATAAAAACAAGGTGCAGAACTCTGTGCAGTGTCCTCTATAATTTGCGCTGCTGGTTTCTTTCATCTTTTAATGTGCATAGAATAATTCTGACAAGATATATTAGAAATCGATAACTTATTGGGAAACTTTTTACTGTGTATTTGTTGGAATTTGTAACATGCTACAAGTATTATCTTTCCTGGTTTCAAAAATTTTTAAATAGAATAAAATGCCCCTGTCCTGGCTATCCCAGTCTCCATCCCATCTCCATGCCTGTTATTAACATCCCTACTATGTATACAAACACAGATAATACACAGAATTTTTGGACTGTTTTACACAAATGAGATCATAGCTTATGTGCTTTTTTGCATCTTTTTACATCATTATATGTTGCATAACATTCTATGTCATGTAAGAGTATAATATGCAGAAAAATAAATATTGTAAACGTACAGCTCCATGTAACCATCACCCATGTCAAGTAGTAAATCATTTTCAACACCCAGAAAGCCCCTCTCATACCCACTCCCGATCACTACTCTTTTTCTCTTTCTTTCCTGAATATTAGCACTATTTATATTTTTGTCTGTTTTCAAACTTTATATAAATGGAAACATAGAATGTGCTTTTTTGTGTGTTTGGCTTCTTTCACTCAATATTTTACTTGTAAGATTTATCCATGTTGTATGTTGTAGTAGGTCTTTCATTTTCATTTCTTTCTACTGTTCCATTATATGAACATACTACAATTAATTTATCCCTTCTATCATTGAATGTTCGGGTTTCCAGTTTGAAGCTATAATAATGCTGTAATGAACATTCTTGTGTAAGTCTTTTGGTGCACATATATAAAGTATGTATATGTTCAGTTTTAGTAGATGTTGACTAGGTTTTTTTAAGTGATGTTTCAATTTATATTCCTACCAGTGCAGTATGAGATTTTTTTTTTTTGTAGTTACACATCCTCACTAATACTTGGTGTTGCCTGTCTCTTTA